CTCTCTCTCTCTCTCTCTCTCTCGCTCTCGCTCTTTATATATATATATATATATATATATATATATATATATATATATCTTTCTCTCTCTCTCACGCCTCCGAACACCTTCCATTCTGACCACAATCCTGTCCGCTTTCTACTCCCTTCCGCGGGCCCGCCTCCATTTTGCCATCTCTTCCTAGCTCTTCCCGCTTTGCTCCATCTGTCCTACTCTCCCCCTTCTCTTCCATCTCTCATCATCTCGATCCCAATATTCCGCTGGGACTGCTCTCTCTCTCTCTCTCTCTCTCTCTCTCTCTCTCTCTCTCTCTCTCTCTCTCTCGTCCTCACAACCCCAACACCATCCATCCCGACAGCGATCTTGTCTAGTTTCCACCCCCTTCCGTGAGCCCGCCTCCATTGTGCCGTCTCTTCCCGACTCTTCCCGCGCTAGGATAGCGCATCTACTTTCCCGGCAGCGCACACATGTCCGAATGTCGGAGGTCGCTGTCCCCATTCCCACGTCGAAACTCCCAGATGCCGCATCTGCACCAACTTACCGACCGTGCGGCAGCCAAACAACAACCAAGTTTTGCCTGGGTGAGTTACCGGTCCAATGGAGGCTGAGTCTCCCGCCCACGTGAATCAGCTATCACAGGCGATAACACAAAAACAAAAAAGAGAATTTCGGCTGGGCCCGCCTTTGGTCCCTGCCTCCTTTCCCAACACTAGCGGCCCCGGGCCTCCACGAAACGTCGCGTCCGCTTTCCTCGCCCAAGTCCCGCGACCCTCCACACCGATCACACCCTTATTCCCTTGCCCCAGGCCTCCTCTGCGGTACCGCCTCGAAACGCCGCGCCCTTATCCCCTTGCCCCGCGCCTCCACGAAACGACGCGTCCGCTTTCCTTGCCCAAGTCCCGCGCCCCTCCACACCAATTTTCGCTGGGCCCGGCGGGACAGAGGAGGGTATGCACTTAGTTTATGTCTCTGCTGTAGGCGAGCCGATGAAAATGCCGCCGGAGATAGAGGGAGTAGTTGCCAAGTACCCTGATCTATTTGAAGAGCCGACAGGGGTTGTAGAGAGGGAGGTCGTCCACGCGATAGAGATTATCCCAGGGTCTCGTATCCTGAAGGGTAGGATCTATCGGATGTCTCCAGGCGAGCTCGATGAGCTTCGCCGACAACTCAAGGAACTCGTAGAGAAGGGTTGGGTCCGGCCGAGTGTCTCTCCTTATGGATCTCCGGTACTATTCGTAACTAAGAAGGAGGGTACACTTAGGATGTGCATTGATTATAGGGGCCTCAATGCCATCACTGTGAAGAACAGAGAGCCCCTACCACGCATTGACGATTTGTTAGATAGAGTGCAAGGGTGTCGGTACTTCAGTAAGATAGATCTGAAGTCCGGGTAGCATCAGATTGCAATCCGGCCCGAGGATGAACACAAAACCGCCTTTCAGACCAGGTACGGTCTGTACGAGTTTGTGGTGATGCCTTTCGGCCTTTGCAATGCTCCTGGCACCTTTCAGCACGCTATGAATCGGATATTCCATGACTACTTGGATAAGTTTGTCATCGTGTACCTCGATGACATACTTATTTTTAGTAAGACTATCGAGGAGCACGTTGCGTACTTGGACAAAGTCCTCAGTCTCCTGCGACAGCACAAGTTCAACGTCAACGGTGAGAAGTGCGAGTTTGGCCGCACCCGTGTCTTGTACTTGGGTCATGAGAACTGCGCGGAAGGGTTGAAGCCCGATGACGCGAAGGTGGCTAGCATTCGTGATTGGCCACGTCCTCAGTCTGTGACTGAGATGAGATCTTTCTTAGGAACGACAGGCTACTACAGGACCTTCGTTAAGAACTATAGTATAGTGGCCGCTCCTTTGACTAATCTGACGCACCTTGACACCCCATGGGCAGATGAGTGCGAGGCTGCTTTCAGACATCTGAAGCATGCGTTGACACACTATAAGGTCTTGAAACTTCCTGATCCTGATAAGCCGTTTATAGTCACCACGGATGCCAGCCAATATGGCATTGGCGCCGTGCTCGCGCAGCAAGAGGGGCCAAAGTTAAGGCCTGTAGAGTACATGTCCAATAAAATGTCGTCTCAGAAGTTGGCTAAGTCCACCTATGAGAAGGAACTCTATGCGGTTTACAAGGCTCTGACCCATTGGAGGCACTATCTCCTTGGGAGGTTCTTCATCCTCAGGACTGATCATCAGACCCTGAGATGGATGAGAACTCAGTCGGTACTCTCTGACGCTCTCAAGCGTTGGATCGAAGTCATTGAGCAGTATGACTTTGACCCTCAGTATCTGAAAGGGGAGTACAACAAGGTTGTTGATGCCTTGTCGCATAAACCTGATTTCTCAGGTGCGCTGATTACTGAGTTCGATCTGACGGACAATGTTACTCAGTCCTTGGTGGAGGCCTATCACGAGGACCAGTTCACGTCTGAGATCATACGTAGACTTCAGGCGAAGGACAAAAAAAACTCAGCCGAGTTTGAGTTGGTCAATGGCTTGCTGTTCCTTGAGAAGGCAGGGAATAAACGATTGTGTGTCCCTAATAGCGAGTCTTTGCGTAGCTTATTTTTAGGTGAGTGTCATGATGCCACCGACCATTTTGGATACAAGAAGACCGCAGCTAATCTGCAGCAGCGGTTTTGGTGGCCCACGATGATGCGAGATGCCCAACTGTACTATGGAGATTTGTCAAGTCTACCAGAGGGACAAGCCACGTACGCAGGCTCCTCTTGGGTTTTTGAAGCCCCTTCCGATTCCGGAACGGCCTGGTGAGAGTCTGTCCATGGACTTCATGGATACTCTGGTCACCAGCAAGAGTGGGATGCGTGGATAGATTCAATAGATATGCTAGGTTAGTAGCAATGTCGGAAACAGCAAAGACGGAGTATGTAATCCGAATGTTCAAAGAGAACTGGGTTAGAGACTTTGGTTTACTAAAGTCTATTATCAGTGACAGGGATATCCGGTTTACAAGTGAATTGTGGAAGGCCGCTGCTGCAGAGCAGGGAACCCGGTTGCAAATGACTTCTGGGAACCACCCAGAGGCCAACGGCCAGGCGGAGCAATTGAATCGCGTTGTACAACACCTGTTGAGGCATAACATCAAGCCGAACCAGGTGGACTCTGATGAGAAGCTTGCTCTCATCGCCAGCCTGTACAACAATGCTGTACACAGCGCCACTGGGGTGAGCCCGAACAGTTTACTATTGACTTTCAAGCCTAGACTGCCCCTAGACTTTCTCCTTCCTGAGAATCAATCAACTGCTGCACCAGGTACTTTAGAGTTTGCCTACAGATATGAACAGAAAATGCAGCAGGCGGTAGAGCAGATGCAGAAGGCACAGGCAGCAATGATAGAGTCTGAGAACAGACACCGCCGACCTTCTACGTTTCAGGTTGGGGACAGAGTTTGGGTAAAGTCCTCAGAACTGGGACAGGAGTACGGGATTTCCCGTAAACTCATGCCACAGTACTTTGGACCATGGGAAGTCTTAGATATTGTCGGGACTGATCCAAATGGGCCATCTTATGTAATCCGAATCCCAGGTCATCTTCGTACTTACCCTGTCTTTCACGCCTCCAAACTTGCACCTTTCAAAGAAACTGATCAGTTTCCATCTTGCCGCTCAATGCTGCCCCCAACCTTGGACGGAGAGGTGGACATTGATGATATCGTGGACCACAAGGAGCTGCAGACGGCAAGACCAACAGGTAGAGGACGTCCTCCGAAACCGAAGCTGTAGTACCGCGTTCGGTTCCGACATCACACTAATCCGAAGGAGGACCGCTGGTTCACAAGGGAGGAACTCATGCAGACCGCTCCGCAGGTTGTAGCCCACTACAAGAAATCTCTGCAGAAGGGAAAAGTGCCCTATGGTTGAAGACTGAGCTTCTCAGAGGACTGTTGAAGCTAGGGAGGAGGGAATGCGAGGCTATTGCCTCTATGAGCCCCATTTGGCCCCCTTATCAAAGCCTGTCGGCCGCCCTAAGTGAAGGCAGGCTCGACGAGGCCCTCAGGGCCTTATTTCGGCCACCCAACAACTAAGGAAATTCAGGCAGTTGCGCAGCGCCAGTTGGTTGAAAGAATCCAGGCCCTGGGCCGCCTGTGTGAATGTATGGAAAGCAGGCCCTAGGCTGGATACGGGTACTGGGCCGAACACAGGCCAAAGGCAGTTGGGCGCATGCAACCACTTCAGGCCCAAGGCCTGTTCTCGTTCGTGCTGGGCCTCAGGCTATCGGGGCCTACTATAAGCTTCCTGGGATTGGACGCAGGCAGGCCACTTCGATATAGCAAAGGGCCTGCCTCCGCATTGGGCATTCGGGTGCTGGCTGCATGCTGCGCAAGCGCTGCTGCGCTAATTGCTGGCTGGCGCCTACGCGCTCACGGGCGAGCAGGGAAGGAGCAGGCAGCCATAGCCGAGCTGCGCTGCTGTAAGCTGGGTGTGGCGCAGGGTGGTCCTTGGGTGCAAGTGGCATCTGTGTGTTGGGGAACGAGGTTGTGAGTAAGGCGAGAGACATACCTGGTGCTGGAAGCGTGCGACATTGGTCGCTGTATGCTCGTACTTCGGGAGAGCTGTTGTCGTCAACTTCGACATTGTAGTATAGGCTAGATAGGATCTGCCACATGTAGTCTGGGCGCAAAGCGCCAGAAAGGATATAAACTCTGGTTCTTTGTTGATGATGATGATGGGACTCTTGGTGTGTTCTTGTTTGGTGAAACTCGTGATGCAATTATGCTGTTGGTTCGAGGTCACGACTATCTGGACTCATATGTATGATGCTGTTTGATTGCTGAAGTTCGCTATTGCTCATCTTCCTTGCAGTTGGTTTCTTGATTGGGGGGAAGATCCTCTTTCGAGAGGTCTGCTCCGACACCAAACTGTCGCATACCGAGATGGTACAGACCAATACCAAGAACCGACCTCTCACAGATAGAGCAGGATAGCACAGCAGAAGCCTGGAATACAAATGATCAGCCCCAATCAATGTCGAAATGCAGACTGGACATACATCATCATCATCACACGGTGTGAATGGCCTGGCACTGCACACCAGGACATCATCATCATCACACGGTGTGAATGGCCTGGCACTGGACACCAGGACAAAGGTAACCCCAATGTCGCTGATACCACTCCCAAACAGTCCCCCCAATGTCTCTGCCCAATGTCGAGTCCAGATCCCAAGTGTCGTCAATCTCTCTCTCTCTCTCTCTCTCTCTCTCTCTCTCTC